ATATATATATATATATATATATATATATATATATATATATCAGGGTGGGAATGCATACGGTTTAATTTGGTTAAGTCCTTTTTGTTTAAAAACTTCATCAAATCAATCGATTGGTATTTCCCTTACGATCAGTTCAAACACCGTGAGATTCATTGGGGAAAACGGTGAATAGAAATCTGTTTGAACAGAATGAATGCGTGGCCAGAGAAACAACGTGGAAGATAGTTCCAGGGCGTAATCGTGTGTTCTGCACATAAAACTCGAAATTTGTATCCTCGCTTTGATTCCCTGACCGCACTTTGTGTTCAAAAGGTCGAGGATAATGGGAATATGTGGTGTTGGGGTAGTGCTTTGGGTCCCGGGGTTCGAGACCCGATTCTGCCACTCAATTTTGGTGGTACTCAGCTTTATTGTCGTCCAGTTCAGTACAATGTTTTGACCTAGTGCGGGTCCTCATGTGATTCACCACTGTTAGACCCCCCGGGGCTTTGATTTCTATCACGAAACGGAAAATAGATTTTCGTGACTATGGAGTCCACCTCATCTGCTGCTGTTCATCACACAATAGTGTGCGTAATCGAAAAAAAGCTGCATTGAAAAGTCAATCGACAGAATTCACGTGAGAGTAAACCGGTTCCGTACATTGACTTGTTCCGTTTGATCAATCACTGCCCCGTCAGCAACACGGAATATGTTTCCGCAGAAATGACGACCACAAAGAAAATTCTTAGCTTCATTCGACACTCAGTAACTATGAGCAACGGTTTCTGATGGCGCTTGTTCCCTCGACCATCCCCCACCCCCTCAGTCAAATAGGGAATCAACGAACAACAAGCAAACCTGATAGGTTAATATTTACCTGACTTGACTGAATAGGTAGTAGCCATCCATGTTCATCCCTTCAAGTTGGTGTTTTTTCTCCAGTCTCATTTTCCCCGGGTCCGTTTTGTTTTTCGTTGTTTCAGAAAACGTTATTCCTCGATGTCAATCCCACTCTTCGACCGATAAATGTCTCTATGCCAGAGGAACTTGAAGTGGCTAGTGCTGTCCCACTGGTACCGGAACTACCTCAACCCGCTTCAGTTCGTCTTCGTTGCCACAATTCCGACACGAAAACTCCCGCCCCCTGTTTGACCACTGCTGCCCAACATCCAGTACCGGTAACTTCCCCGAAGTCACGTCCAATATTCTCACCAAAAGGTAAACGAAAATTGCGTGACATTAAGGCCAAGGTCCATTCTCGTTCCTTGTCGAACATTAGACAATTGGACAAAATCGATTCGGATGTGTTGGACCCGCTGAATCGAACTCTGCTTGGTTCTGATCGTGGTCTCGGTTCGGGACTGACGGCCTCGGTTCACACGTTACCCACAC